TAAGGTTAATAAATGTTTTCCTCATTTATCATTTTCATATTTTGAAAACAAAGAGTAATTCGTCGTCGTGATCATTGAAGATAATGATAATGAAATTTTATGACGAATAAATTATCCATTTGTGATTTAAATTTTATTTTGATCTAAATTTCTGAATTCTTGAAATTAATTGAACTATCAAATAAAAATTTCCGAAATGATCCAGTTCAGTTTTAAAATTTTAAACTTTTTCTATTATATAATAATCTAATGGTGGCCTTGTTTTATAAATTTACCGTAAGAATTGAGCATTTTCAAAAATGGAATTCGCAACAATTACAAAACCAAAATGTACCTTAACCGAGTTGATATTTATTCACAAGAAATTATTCAAACTTTCTGCTCAAGAGAATTCAATATTCAATTTATCGGCAAATTTTTACACGAATTATGGTCCACGTTCTGTCCGGTGGTATTTCATTTTTGTTGTTTACGATTATACCGTCTAAAGTCATGCATCAATGCTTATCACAGAATAATCATTATTATAATTATTTTATGGTGAAATTTAATGTAATTATAAGCTTTATGAAAATATTTATCTCCTAAAAATAATTATAATTTACTTCCAACTATGAAATTTGTTGCAGTTTGTTTAAACTAACAATTTCAGAAACATCGCCTGAAATTGTTTAAAGTCTCCGGAAAAAAAAAGGAAATCATCTGTTATGCTTTTTTTTACTGCCTTTCGTTAAATATCACTTTTCATAAAAAAAGTTCAATTATTATCTATCAATTATCATTCAAGCATTAACAACCATTGCCATGATTGTTTTATGATAAAAGTTTGTTTGATTATGAATTTTGTCAGAATATTTCTAAAAAATTTCTAAACAACTTCAATTTTGCAAATAACAAATTTTAGGTCAATTTGTTTTTCGGGTTACACAACTGTTGCAATAAATTGCACGGATTCTTATTCAATTCCACCACGAGGCAAATATAAAATTTCTGCAAAAGCAATTTCAAAACAAAGTATGGGTCAGTGAATAATTTAGTTTTTGATCTCTTTTTTTTCAAATTGAAATTTCTCTTTCATAAAATGTTTCCTATTTCGAAATTTAGAAAAAAACAGTTTTCATTTTTTTTTATTTTTACTTTTTTTTACAGAAATATCAACCGAATTAATATTTGAAAGAAATATAATTGATGTATGGAATACGGAATTTTTGACGAAAATTTCGAATATTTTGGATTCATCCGATTTTTTTGGTTGCACACTAAAATTACAATATGAATTACGATTTGAAGCAAATGAATTTATTCAAGTTAATCCTTGGCTATTTTCAACAACATTTGCTAGAGTAAATATACCGACAAATCTACCGTATAATGATTACCGTTCTGTAATGTGTGCTAAAGCTATTGAAAATCCGTATGTTGAAATTTGGAATAGATTACATCTTACGTTTTTTTGGTTTATTTTTTAAATTAATCATTGTATTTAATTAGCAATTTTTCAATTTTATCATCATGAGCTAATCATTGTGCTTAATTATCAAAAAAAAAAATCGTCACCATTAAATATGTACTAATCATGTATTTAATTATCACTTCTAATAATTATGAATTAATCGTCGTGTTCAATTGTCATGTTTAATCGTCGTTAGCTAATCTTTGTATTTAATTATTTAATTATCATATTTAATCATCATAAGAGTTAATCATTACATTCAATTAATATAAGCTAGCGAACATTATTAAATCATCATTTTTTCCTTTTTTCAAAGTGATTTTACAATACATACAAAAGATGGAATAATCGAAACGGTACGATATTTATTGTATCTTACGATCGATCGAATACATAGCGAAATAGATGCTAATCCAAGCATTCAATCGATTGTGATTGAACATCGAAAAGAATCAGTTGAACAGGTTTACTGGATTTAAATTTTCTTTTTAATCCGTGAAATTTTATAATAAACATTTTATTGAAATATAATAAAATGTGAAAATTTCTAAAATATTTTCACCAGAAAAAGTTGACGAGTTGACAGTTTTTTTGTTTCCATTTTAAGCACTAAAAATTAACTTTTAGGTGGCGAGTCTTTACATCTCTTTCATTTTGTTTATTTTAGAAAGGTATTCGCATTGGAAAGGCGGAAATTACAAGTTATTGTGATAATGTTAAGATTTTTGTTGATAACATGTGCAAATTTGAGAATAAGTCACTTGTTAATAAGTTATCAGATAGAATTGAATTGTAAAAAAAATAAAAATAAGCCGAAATTCTTAGAAAGTAGGAAGAAAAAATTCTTGGGGCTTTTTTCTTTTATCTGTAGTTTATAAAATGTTATATATTCCCATTTCCTTATCTTCATATTTTGCAATATGCAAAAAAAAAATTAGTTCCTGATTCATATGAAGTAATACCTTAATTTAAAAATTTTTTTTCTTTTCTGTTATCAGCATTTCTTTGCAGATGATAAATTATGCATTAAAAGGTTCCTTTGATATGCTGGATGCGTCACCGGATGTTTTGGACGATTTTATCTCATGCATTCGAGCATTTCGACCGCGAGGTTTCTGGACACTTATCCATCATATCACTGATGGCCTTCGTAATAAACTAAATGAGGTTTTACTTCTCTCTTTTTTTTATTTTTTTCTCTTCCATTAAAATGAATGGAAAAAATTGTTTCCTTTAATAGCATGTATTAATAAAATTAACAGAATTAATTTCATTAAAATTTTGGTTTTGGATTTTTCAATAAGTTTAAAAAAAGAAGAAATTTATTGTTTCTATTATTTTCTTTTTTTTATTTTATAAAAATTTCCATTTTGTTAAAACAAAGCGATCTTCCCACGCAATAATTAATCGATTCTTTGAACTAACTGTTTCTATGAATTAAATATTCAATTCATGTTAAAATACCAAAATTTTCTTCAAAATCTTTGCTCATTCTTATGTGATTTCTTATTTAAACTGAACATATTTAAAATTGTAATTATGATTGTGTGCATATTTGAGCATTAATTAATTAGTAATCAATTTACTAAAGTTTTATTAATAGCAATGGGAAAAAATAGATGTTGATACTGTATTGCGATATCTTGGCCTAGGTGCTCATCATCGATTGCATGAATTATCCTCTAAAGCTATTATAATTATTGCAAATGTACACTATAAGCAGTTCATGTAAGTTCCTATAGTAATATTGATTGATTTACTGATTGTTTCTTTATTAATTTCTAATTATCAATTCAATATGCATATTTTATTATTTTTTATATAATTTCTCAAAAAGTTCTTTGCTTTCAATTCATATTTGTTTTTAGAAATGAAGAAAGAACGTTTTTCATTTTTCAGTTATTTGATAAGTTGAATTATGAAATAAAAATACATTTCCAATTTTGGTTTCATTAAAATTAACGAATGTATAACTCAATTTTTAATTAATATTTTGCTAATTAATTCGATTAGGCACCTGCTGATAAGAATATTGTAATTATAGGCTTGAATATAATGTCGATTCTAACGGATCTAAGTTAGAAATTTACAATATGCTTAAGGATAGCGAATTACCATTTGAAGGAAATGCAATTCAAAAAATTCAAGCTGTTTATTATGCCGGCAAACAAACCGAAGTATTATTCCGGTATAAAGTTGGACAGGAAAAAGAAAATATGACAAATGATTGTGAATATATTTTATGCGACAATTCAATGATTGTCAATTAATTTATTATAAATTTTCGTAAAATGCTGCTTTGAACGATATGAAAATATGATAAATTAGATAGATTGTTGGAAAAAAAGAAACCGGATAGGATTAGGTTGTTCCGGAATCATCAAAAACAAGCAAACTAAAACAACATTACCATCATTGCTATAGGTAAAGATTATGGATTTTTATCGAAATTCCGACAGATCGGATCAATATCACGGTAGCAATTACTTTTGTCTTTGTTTTTTTTTGGCAAACCGGACTAACTAAACCATTCCAATATCATGATCACAGTAACCGACATTATTTGTCCGGAACTCTTAACGCTTCAGGAATCATAAAAATGTTGAATGGTTATTCATTTGAGTTGTTTTTTGACTCTGCCACTTTTTTTTCTTCTTTGTAATAACGGCTTTTTAAGTTATTATTTAAACTTTTCCATAACATGTAAATTAGATATAATTTGTCGTGAAATAGTAAAGACTGCCAGATAATTTATTGGTCGAGCTTCGTGGTTGAGCAATCAAACTCCAATCAAATCCATCCAAATGAAGCGCTTGGTGCGAAAGTGTTTGTCCGGAGATCGATTTGTCTTGTGAATACGCAACAGTAAGGAATATTAGCCTTTATCGTGATAAGAGATTGATGAAAATCCGCCAATGTCCGTAGAAGCGAAGAATAAACAGAAGAAGAAAACGATAACCTTAGAAGAGGGGAAGCCAAAAAGCCTCCCCGGATTTGGACCCAGATTATTTATGTTAAGAATGGGAGTGGTTTACATGAAGAATTCAAGTATCGGAAACACACCGGATATGGTACAAGCATTATAACAAGATTAAACAGAATGATTGACATGGGAAATTAAGGGTTTAAACATATAAATGCAAAATGGTTAGATAAGATAACAACAAAAAAGTTGGTAACTTCTGAGATTGCTAATTTCATATTTGTCTGGTACTTCAACCATTTGAAGTTTACTTGTTAGAT